CTGAACACAGAGCCAATGCTCAAACGGACAGAGGTGCTGTCTTGGTGACGGGTGAGCAATGCCTTTATTTACCTATTTTGATGACATCGCGGGTGCTGCTCTCTTGTGCTTCGTCTCCCAGGATGTCATCTTCCTCCTGTGTTAGAATCATGGGGTGTACCTTGTCTCTCAGAGGCCCTGCTGGCTCGGGGTCAGAGGCAGCTCGCGGTCTTCTCACGACATCCAAATCTCCATCCTCGTCCAGCTGAGCTCCCACCCACTCCTGGCCGGTGGTGTCAGTGCCAGCCTGGAGGGAGAAATCCTCGCTGCTGCGGCCACTCCCGGGAGGGGACCTGATGTTGCCTGTCCCAGCAGGAGTTTCCTCTGTGGGAACATCTCTGTGATCACCACCCTCCGCCCCTGAGTCTGTCTGAGTGTCTTGGTTCCACACAAACTTGAAGTGGGACAGGAAAACTGAAAGGCAAGACAAAATATAAAAGGAGAGTATTTCCAGCTGTCCTCTTGTTTCCGCCTCTTCTTCTTTCAAAAAATTTGATTTCCACCCGGAAAAGGTTTTGAAGGCCAGATGGAGACATAGTAACGCCAGCAGAAAAGGCCTGTGGGATTCAGCCATGACACTGCAATCATGACCACCACCAAAAGCAGCTACCATTATATGACCATCTGCAGTGTAGATACTCAGCCCACATTATCTCATGCAGTCGCCACAGTCACTATGAAGAGAGCAATATCAGCTCCATCTTACAGACGTGGAAACTGAGGCTTAGAAGTTAAGGGAGCTGAGAAGGTCACACAGCTCTGAAGGTGGCTGATGCTCCTCTCACTACACTGTCCCTCTTCTGAAGGCCTGGAGGACAGGACAAAGACAGCAAGTGTTCCTTACCATCTGGTGACCAGAAAGTCACTGGAACAAGTTTCAGTAAGAGTACGTGTACCAGGAGAGGTGGGCTGCAGGCAGGAGGTGCAGGGACTTGAGCGGTCAGTCCTAGGCTGGAGTCCTCCATTTCTCCAGGCTGTGTGACCCTGGGCAAGTCACTGATCTGTTCTAAGCCTCAGTTTCCAGAATTCAGGAATCCAAATTGAGACGTGAGGGAAAGGGGTTGTTATTAGTCAGCCACGCCACAATAACAAGCTAAAAAGGATGATGGGCGGGCCTGTCAGAGATGACACCTGAGGAGCCAGGGCTACGAGGGAAAAGGGTTCTGGGCAGAGAGAACAGCAAAAACAAAGGCACTGCGGGAGAAAGGTGTGTGCACTGTGTAAGGGGCGGAAAGGAGCAGAAAGTGGCTGCAGAGCAGAGAGGGACAGGGAGATAAGCGTGGATACACAGCCAGGGGCTGGGTTGGGCTGGACCTCGCAGGCCAAGCTGAGGAGTCTGTTTTTATTCTAAGAGCAGGGGGAAGCCACCGGAGGGTGTCTAAATCAGGGCCGAGATGTGGTTTGCACTTTCAAGAGGCCCCCTTAGCTTCTGGGGAGATGAGTGGGGGAAAGTGCAGGAGAAAAGCCAGGCAGCCCTGGTGGGAGTAGCAAGGGATGAAGGGGCTGCACTGGCAGAGGGGATGGAGGGCAGTGGGCAGCTGGAACCCCAGNTCCTCCAGCTGCTGCAGGGACGAGCGGAAGTGGTCGTAGGCTTCGCACGTGACGTCCAGGTGACTCAGCGTGAAGTTCAGCCTGCACACAAGCAGCCGACACACTGCCCGTCACGACTCGGAAAGGGTCTGGCCGGTGCCCACCACGTGCCTTCCTGCCACCTCCAATCTCACTCGGGTTGCAGGGTGGGCGTCAGCGAGTGCCTACTGTGTGTTTAGCATCTGAACATGCCTCCTTCCTGAACAGGGAAGTCTGCCTGGCAGGTGGAAGTGGCCACCAGCTCCATTTTACAGATGTGGAAACGGAGGCTCCGAGAGGTGAAGTCACATGCCTACGGTAACACCGCTGCCCCAGGAGCTACAAACTGGTGCAAGGGCTGCATGCAGACCAGCACCTGCGGCCGGGGCTCCGTGTGCGCGCCTGCTCACTCCGCCCGCGTCCAGCACAGGCATGGCACGTGGCTGGGCCATGACTATGTATGCAATGAGTGGCAGACGGAGGGGAGGGGGCCTGGGGAAGCCCGGTGATGGAGAGAATGGTGCTGGGAAGTTGGTGGGGCTGGGGACATTTCGGAGGGGGTGACTTCAGAACTGAGTCCTCAGAGCATCCTCACCCCGGCCACTAGTACCTTTCCACACCCTAGTCTGCCACACGATTTAACTTGAACTTCAAACTCTTCGCCTCTTTCCGTTTTCTTTCCAAAATCTTTTAACATGAAACATTTCAAAGATATAAAAGGAGCGAGAAGAGTATGATGAGCTGCCAGCTTCAACCACCGTCAACTCATGGCTACTGTCACCTCTGTCCCCCTCCCCATTAGATTAAAAAGCAAATGCCAGATTCCTGCCATAAATACGTCCGTGTGCATCTTGAGGAGATAAAGGCCTTTTCCACCTAAAAACAAATTTAACAGTAATTCTTTGCCATAAAGTGTCCAGTCAGTGTTCAACTTTTCCTGACTTTTCGATTTTTCCATTACAGTCTGTAAGATCAGAATCCCGCCGAGGCCCACACACCGCCATCGGCCATGTGTACCTTGAAGGACGTCCCAGGCATTATCGGTATAAACGAATGCGCCTGTCGGATGGCTTTGGACAGCACTGTGATCACTTCCACAGGGCGAATTTCTAGATGCTGAGTGGCTGGGTCACTATGTTCAGTTCTATGGATTTTGCTACACATTCCAAACTGCCTTCAGAAAAGTGTGGACTATCCCTAAGAGACAGAGAAAACAGCACCGTGTCCAGCACTGCACCTGTCACAAGACGGACACGCCCATCAGTGGGAGCCCTAACGTTGTCGGATACTCCAGCGGGAGTGTCCTGGAGGGGCTGCGTCTGCATCAGGGGGAGGGCAGAGACTGGGGGACCAGCGGAGACAGATGGCACTCAGGAACAGGAAGAGGACAGGCCCTCGACAGACTGTGGTAGCCACGCGCCTCAGCTCTGGTGCATGGCCCGCCCTCAGCGACTAGCTGTGGCTCAGGAGGTTCTCTGATGCTTCCTGGCCTTCCTCTCTTCATCTGAGAAATGGGGACGGGGCAGCGCCCCCACACCGGTGGGGCTGGTATGTGGATTACATGAGGCCACGTGTGTAAGGGACACAAAACAGGCGCTCACTGAGTGACGATGATGACACTGAGGCCAGCGTGTTTAGAAGGTAAGAGCCTGGGGCCGGCCAAGTGGCTCAGTTGGTTAAGAGCTCACTCAAGAGTGTGAGCTCTGAGCAACAACGGTTCAACGCCCGGCCCAAAAGAAAAACCAAAAAAAAAAAAAAACCAAAAAAAAAAAAAAACCAAAACAAAAAAAAGAAGGTAAGAGCCTGTTTTTTGGGATGCCAACACGGCCCCCGGGTGCAGACCTCACCTTTTTTCCACAGAGAGAATGGCTGTGCAGGTGTTTTTCAATTTGTGAGCGAGTCGGCAAAGTGTTTTAAACAGAGCATCGGTTAAGTCGTCGTCGTAAAACACTGCAAGGAAGAAAAAAGGCGTTAGGGGCCAACATGCAAATATCAGAGAAGCCTCTTCCTCAGAGGACCCCCTCGGACACTGTGGACGGAATCCTTATAAACGTGGCAGCAACAGTTAGAATGCACACCGCGCGCAGATGTGGCAGGACGTCCTAGAAAGATGCTTCTGAAACACAGAGAACTCCGTGGAGGGGGAGGCATGCGCGCTGGGCTACACATGACGATGACCGAGCTGCGAGCGAAGGACGGTCTTACCTTCGGCTGCGAGCAGTACGGTGGTGTGGCTGTACAGGTCGGAGATGTCCTCTTCTGACCAGCTGAAGAG